TTAATTTTAATGGAGGTTGATAGCAGACTTCAGATGATATGACCTTGTTCTTTAGATCTCTGGTTCGTCATATATGTAAAGTTGCCATGCTAAATTGTGTTCTTCAGTTGTGTGAAGGCTCTTGTCAAGTATTTTGTTTTTTTAATATAAATCCAACCTATAGAGTATTTTTAAATGGAATAATTATGACAGTCTGCCTTCTGTCAATAGATATGAAACTAGAATGTTTGTTCCATTTTGAAAATGTGTATACCTGTATTTTGTATCTTCCTTCCTCTCCACTGCCAGTGATGTGGATTCTTTGGGTACTTTGAGTTTATGAGCTTTTTTCCCTCCTGCCTCACCATGGAGAGGACCCAGAGTGCCATTCATAGAAGGAAGGTATTGACTCTGACAGGAGCTGCTGTGCCTCCATTAGAAAATGGCAACTGAATCTGCCTCAGTCACTGAATGGGAAGGAAGTGCTGGCTTGGTACCAGCCTGCAGATCAGTACCTACTGCTTCCACACGCTCCTAGAACTGTTACTGCAGATTCTTACAGAAATCTGCCTGCCTGAAAGTGAACTCTACCACTTTGCTCAGCAGCAGCAGCTTGTTGATTTGATTCTTAGATTTCAAATTTCTTAATGAAGGAAATGGATGCCCTAGCATCCGCGCTGTAGTTTCATTACCTCTGATGAATTGAAATAAAATATTGTTGCCAGCTTGGCAGTTTCTAACACAACTTTCTTTTCTTTTTAGACAACTGTGTCACAGTATCCTGTTTTTGTTTGCTTGTGTTTAGCATTAGCTTCACTTTAGCATATATTCCTATTCCAAAATAACAGATAGTGGGATATTTCTTCCACTGTTAACATTCCACTGGAGTAGAACATGTTCTTTCTTGTGTAACTAAACTTAATCAATTTTTCTATGTGCTTAGTTACTAATTAATGGACTGCTTCATTCAAAGGCACTTTGCCATTTGGCTCTATATAGAAAGTTGTCATGGTTTTAGGGGAGACTTTGAGATCACAGGAAGTGATCTGAAGGTACTGAAAATGTGTATATAGCTTCAGGTTTTGTAAAAAAAAGTTCTTATAACTCAGAATTTCCACCTGTCCTCCCTCGAGGAGGAAGGTTCTGTAGTTCTCTGCAACCTTTGTGAGGTTGTGAGTTTACATTCTTAAAAAAAGTCTTGGACCTGATTCTGTTTATTACTTAAGTTATGGCAAAATGCTGGGATCAGCAGCCTATGACAGAGATCTCAGATAACTTCTTCTTTTCACAGTTGTTGCAAGAGTTTCAGGTTACTAACTTAAAAAAGAAAATACAGCTTTATGGTAGGGAGAACATTTTCCTAGCTTTCTAAGGAAGCAGTCTGCATCTTGTCTCTCTTGATTTTGGCCTGCAGTAAGCTTTGAGCCTGTTGTCCAATTTTGAGCAGACTCAATAAAGTAGTCTAAAATGTGTAAGTTCCTGTAATAGGAGTGGACAGTGCATGGCTACAGGAGCAGCCTGGTTTTGGCTCTTGCTGAATAAGGCAATCAGCTGCTTCGGAAGGGAACGCAAGGGAGTTGAATAATGTAGGGGGCTGTAGTACTAGAAAATAAAAATATCTGATGATTTTGTAGCTGGATACCGAAATCATGGTGGGAAAGCTTGGTGTATGATGTTGTCTGTGAGATGCAACACTGTTGAAAGCCTGATCTGTTTTGTTAGTTCTTCTGCCCATGGAACTACTTATTTTTGAGATTTTGACTAAAAATGACTAAAATTGTTCTGTGTTCCCCTTGGTGGATGTTGCTGCACAGCTAGTTCTGACTTGAGGTGATTTTGTGTCTCGCTATTCTTGAAGTTCTTTTTTCTCTATTATCTATTCTGTCAGTAATTGCCAGCAGAAAGAGTACCGTTTTTTTCCAATCAGCGTAATCTGATGTGTTCCCTGCTTTATAGTACTGCCTTTACAGTACTGCCCTTCTGTACTAAGCAGGCAGTTATTTGTTGTCCAGAGAGGCTTTTTTTTTCCAGTTGCCTTTTTGTTAAGCCTTTCACTGCATTAATGCAAGCTGTACGTGCATTTTATCTGTCAGAACTTGAGGCCACGTTCTGCAGCTGCATTAGCGCTCTTAAGCACGGTCAGACTTTACCTGAAAGTGTCCGTTGCCACCTGCAATTGAGGAGCTGTGCTCTGTTTAAAATGCTGGAGGTTGTATTTAACCCTGCTCGTTATGCCTCTGGTAAATGATACAATGCTGTTCATCACAAGCTATAGCTATGTGGCTTTTTTCAGTAATATGAGAAAGATTTCAAGGTGGTTTGTTTGTTTTAAACATTGATGTGGTTTATAGTGATTTGTTCAGACTTTGGTTATTATTCCTTCCTGATCCAGAAAGTGATTTATCTCTCCCAAAACCCCAAAAGGACAACTTAATATGTTTGAGACATTTTAAATGTGTACTTTCTTGGTGTTCTACTATGATACGCACATAGTTTTTATACAGGTATTCTTGAAATGGTGTGAAAAACCAAGGAATTATTTGTATTTTCAGCATACAGTTCTTATTTGAATGCTTGCTTGGAATAATATCTTGATTACATGACTTGTTATAGAAGGTGCATGTACTTTATGTAATAAGTAATGTATTGCTAAATGGAAATACTTAGCCCAAATAGAGTGTGCCAATAGGTCGTATTTGTTCTGTATTTTGCAACAGCAACAAATAGCGAGTATTTTTACTACTACTAGCAACAAATAATAGCTTACTTCATTCCACTGGCAAACTAGTTCCCTGCTTGTCTTTCTTTTGAAATAGTTTTTTGCCCATGATTTTGTAAGTATCTGCTTGTATTCCAGAATTTTATTTTTAAGAGGAAGAATAAACCTTATAATTAAAATAGGAGCATCAGCAGCTCTACATTTATTAACTATGTGTGATTCTGAAAAAAAAAAAAGTCTACATTAGCTTTAAAATTTTGGAGTTGTTTTACTTTTCTGGCAAAATATCTTTTTCACTACTTGACTCTCACCAAAAATTTTGTTTTCTCCACTCATTATCATCGGTATTTTATGAGAGTGATAGCATTTGTGGTGACAGGTTCTTATGGTTTGATCATAAGTGTTGTGATATTTAATTATTTTTACACATAAAATTCATGGTTCTTGGAGGCAGATAATTGCATAAGAATCTGATCTTTTTCAAGAATTTTTGTACGTTTAGTTTCAGAGTTAGCATTCAAAATACAGTGAGTCAAAAATCTCATCCTTCTCATTAGCTTGAAATCTCTGGTTGAAAGCAGATTTTTTTAAAAAAGCAACTTTTGAGGACCTGGAGCGTATTTCAGTCTTTGTGGTTGTAATTATATTGAATTTAAGAGCAGAGGCAGTAGTGAGGGTGTTCGTTAATGATGTGCATTTTGGTGGTGCGCAGGGACAGATCTAGAGCGGGATCCATAGAATCTACTGTCTGGTCAGATGAAGCAGATATAATTGGAGAAAGGTCACAAAAAGGCGAACGCTTTGAGAATCTCAACTGCTAGTAATGCTGTAACTGTAGATTTTTGGGATGGTGACCAAAAAAGAGGAAGGTGTGCTAAATGGAAGAAGATGGAAAGGACAGTAGAAGAGCAGAGCAGCTGTGGAATTGTGCCATGGTGAAGAGACTGGGGAGAAGAGGATAAGAAGTCACTGCCCTTGGTTACGCAGGAAAAACGTGTTGTTGGAATGTGTCTACAGCTGGTTTTTAAAACACCTTCTTTCTCTACTAGGTCTGGCTGGTTTTCTCTTCCATTTTTCTTGACAGTTAACAGAGGCAGGGAATTTAAGGTGCATCAGTGTTTGTATATTACGTGTGGGTTTGGATGACGTTAGTCTCCCGTGACTGCCTGTGCTCAGAGGGGTTGCTGGGTGGCGAGTGGTGTTTTAACATCTTCTTACTGTCACTGCCTTCTTCAGATCATTATTTGTATGAGGGACAAAGTAGCTCCACCCTTTGCCTTCTAACTGGCATTTCAGTTCTGTTGCTTTTTTTGATCTAACCATGTTCATTCTACTTCTGTTTACTCCCTGTGGCACTCTTCCTCTAACTGCAGTGCAGTGCTACCATGCTTGATATTCCTTGGCCAGCTGACAGCTCACTTATCTAATGCACGTGGAGCCTAACAGTTTCCTAGACAGGTACTACTTCTTGTCCTGGGCTTCTGGTCACTAGGGTTTTGTTCCCAATCTGTATAATGAACTTTACCCTGCATGTAGATGAACAGAAGTAATGGCTTCACAGAGAGGTATGAACTCTTCCTATTTAAATTGCTAACGTACAAATCTGGCTAATGTTAAAATGCTTGGTCTTTACTTGTTGGCTGTTCCAGCAGAATTGTTAGTCAAGCATTCTTAGATCACGAATGGAGTTTTTGTTTGTGAATAAGGGAAATACCACCAGTTCTACCAGCAAATCTGAGTACTTTGTCCTCAGACTTGCTGCCAATATTTTTCTGAAAATGCACAAGAAATGCTTAGTTGCCAAAATTGCAGTTTTGGGCAAATGTATGTCGTTCAGAAATGTTTTATGTTAAAGTTAAAAAGTATTTTTCTGTTTGTATTATGTATGGTCAGTTATATAGCCCAATACTTCATGCTTTATCTACTTTAACTTTTACGGTAATTCGTTGAAAGAACAAACTGATAGCAGACTCAGTTGAAGGCATTTTAGCCAAAATTCTGCTACTGTTAATACTTGAGCAGTTTGTAATGCACATAAATATTTGATTTATCACAGTTTTGTTATACAGAAGCTTAGAACTGAATCAATGTGTGTTCCCTGAACTGCAGAATGTCAAATGACGCGGGAGCATTTTTATCAATAAGCATGGCTAGAATATCAACACAGAAAATTTCTGCATTATGTATTTAGTGATCTTGTTTGTCTTGATTAATTTTGTACTGCATATTTACATGGTGACTAGAAAACAGAGGGAGGGGGAGAGAGAGAGATGCATGTAATGATTTTTGTAATTTTTTTCAGGTATTTTTAGCAGCAATGATGTAGCAGTATCATTTCCAAATGCAGTATCTGGCTCAGGATCTAGCACTCCCGTTTCCAGTTCTCATTTACCTCAGCAGGCTTCAGGCCACTTGCAGCAAGTGGGAGCTCTGTCACCTTCAACTGCGCCTTCTGTAACTACTGTTGTTGCTGCAACTCAGGTAAACTATCACAAGAGTTTAAGATAGAAAACCATGTTATTGACCTGCTTATTTTCAATGTTAAAAGAAACAATAATTTGTTTGGAAAATAGGTTAATAAACATTTATATTTGTTGTGAAAACATAGTGACTCAGAGTTTCCCGTAATATTACATAGTCTCATCTTTGTAGAGCACATAGATTTTTAAAAACGATCTGTGGATTTGTGTAGTAATAATGACTATATTATGACTAGTAGCATCAATGCTTGTTACACTTCATCAGTGCTCTGGCCTGTATCTTATCAGAGCAATTTTTTAAGAAAGGATTTAAAAGAGGGGAAAATGTGTAAAGTTTTGTATGTTTCATGCAAAAATGCTGCTAACAGTTAAAGAGCAGAGGAGTTAATTTGGGAGATTTGACAAATGGACAACTAAGGCTAGCCCCGGCAAAGAGGGTGGCCAAGGCTGACATCTTGATAGCAAATGAAAGTTGATAGATATGCTATGGTTTTATAATTGAATGGTCATACAAATGAAAATATGTCATACACATTTGATGAGGAAGGGGTAAGAGAGGCACTGAAGGAGTGCAGAAGGGAAATGTAGTCAGAGTAATGAACCAGAAAAAGTATTTATTTTGTATGAATTTAAATTGGACGGGATTGTATTTATCAAGGCAAGAGAGTACAAAGTTATAGTTACAGAGAGCCACCATGATTAGAATATAAGCATGAAGGAATACTGTACCTGGGCATGATGTTTTTATACATCGTGTTTGTTGTATTTTTCATTTGCTGGTGGAAATCTGTTTTACAGTGAATGTATCAATTGTATTTATTTTGTGTGCATATAAGCCATCAACTTTTAATTTGTAGAGTGTACACTGATTTGAGATAGTGAGCATAGACCTGAAGAATTAAAATCAAGCTTAATACATACATACTTATACGTGTGTGTGTGTATGTGGACACGTGTGTGTGTGTGTATAGTACATGTATAGCGGGAATATTATGTGCAGGCCAACACAGAAGACATTTCAATATCAGATGACACTTGGTTGTTATAGGTGACAGTTCATATTTTTATGTAATTCTCCTGGACTGGTTTGCTAAAGGAATAAGGCCTGCGATTGTCTGTGTGACTTATGTCTTGTAGCTTTGAAACCTGTTGGCCAGTTTCACCCAAAATGGATTGATATCTCTGTTGCACAAATTGACAGAAACTATATTAAAGAAATGAATTTAAAATACGGTGCTTTGGCAAAGAGCCAATATAGCTTTTGTGAAGGGAAATCACAGGCACTTTGAGTTAGTTCTAATTCCTCCCCCCCCCCCTCCTTATTTATTTTTAAATTTGCTGAAGAGTATTAGACAACATAACTCACTGAAGACACTTAAATTAAACAGCCTGGAGATAAGGGGAAAGGTTGTGTTCTTGTTTAGTAGCAGATTAAAAGATGTGAAAAACCCCAAGCAAGTAGATGCTCAGTTTTCACAGTGGAGAGGCTTTCCAATGGAGTCTTGGAAAGATCAGCGTTATGGCCTTTGTGCAGCTCAACGTATTCATAAATGATGTAGGAAAAGGAGGAGGAACAGAAGTCAAGTTTGCCAATTACGCTGGGTTATGCAGTGAGCTGTTACGAAGATCAGCTGTCACAAACTCCTGAAACACCTCACCAGCCTATGTTGACATGGTGGTAAGAGAGCAAGTAAAATCAATGTTAAAGGGAAAAGGCAGTTTCTGTTCAAAACAGATACAGCAGATACCAAAAGAGGTACCAAAAGAGCCATGGTAATAAACAGTGACAAGGAATCACAGAATCACAGAATATTAGGAGTTGGAAGGGACCTCAAAAGATCATTCAATCCAACCTCCCTGCCAGAGCAGGATCACCTAGACCAGGTCACACAGGAACGCATCCAGGTGGGTTTTGAATGTCTCCAGAGAAGGAGACTCCACAACCTCTCTGGGCAGCCTGGTCCAGTGCTCCATAACCCTTACAGTAAAAAAGTTTTTCGTTAGGAGGTTCAGGTTGAACCTCCAGCTTGCTTCCATTTCCCCTTGTCCTGTCATTGGGTATCACTGTGGATAGCCTGACTCCTTCCTCCTGACACTCGCCCTTTACAAATTTATAAACATTAATGAGGTCACCCCTCAGTCTCCTCTTCTCCAAGCTAAAGAGACCCAGCTCCCTCAGCCGCTCCTCATAAGGAAGATGCTCCACTGTCTCAATCATCTTTCAAGGAACAACATCTTTCTTCTTCGGGGGGACCTTATAGCGACCTTCCAATATCTGAAAGGTGTCTATAAGAATGCTGGGGAAGAACTGTTTACAAGGTCATGTGGCAATAGGACAAGGGGTAATGGTTTTAAACTAGAAAAGGGTAGATTTAGGTTGGATGTTAGGAAAAAGTTCTTCAACGTGAGGATGATAGATCACTGGAACAGGTTGCCCAGAGAGGTGGTGGAGGCCCCATCCCTGGAGATATTCAAGATCAGGCTTGATGGGTCTCTGAGCAACCTGATCTAGTAACAATGTCCCTGCTTACTGCAGGGGGGTTGGTCTGGATGATCTTTAAAGGTCCCTTCCAACCTAGTACATTCTATGATGCTATGATCTTTATAAGGAATGAGTAAATAGGATTCTTGGCCTGGAAAAGAGACACTGAGATGGGATAAGACAGAGGTCTGTAAAATCACAAATGGCTTGGAAAATTTAAATAAGCAAGAACTGTGCACCATCACTTCTATATGTTGAAGTCTGTCAGAGGATAAAAGGATTCAAAAAGCAATGGGACAGAGCCATATTTAGCAGGCAGGAACAGAAATACCATAGTAGTAGTTTTTCCTAGGACGTGCACTTTCTTTTAGTGTTTAGCTGAACTAGAGAGCCCTCCATAGGTTAAGTGCTTAAAATTCCTGTTCTTCCTTTGGCTCTGTTTTCTGGGAGCTGTGTTGGAGTCTTTTTTTTTCTTTCCCAAAGGAGTCATATATCTTACCTCAGTTCCTAATTTGTTTTCAAGTGGTCATAGGTTTACTTGTCAGGATCTTATTCACAGCTACTACCATTTTAAGAGTCTTTTGGTTCTGAACTATAAAGGAAGGTTCAAATGGTGAGAAGGTTTGGTTGACAGCCTTAAAAGGAAACTCCTGTGTTTGCACAGAGAATTAACAAAGTCCTGTGCTGTTTCAGTTATTCTAGGACTATGCTTTGGTAACTAGTGTCTGCCAGTTTGAAATCGGTAAAGGCACGGTCTTTGGGTTTTTTTCTTATCAATGGTGTCAGTGCATAAATATGAACTTGGTCCTTCCATCATCTGAACCATTATACAGGCATTGATGTTTCAACCATATGTTTCAACCATGCCTCATAAGCTGTGTAGCATGACATGTCTGCAAGTTATACTCTACAACCAAGGCACCTATATTTATCTACACCAATCTTTTTTCCCTTCTGTATTCCCTGTTTTCACAGTTTGTAGTTAGATTGGCACTTTTCCTTTTTGTCTGGCACCCAGTAACATCCAGCAGGTCGGTGTTGGCAATTTCCAGTTGAGGCTTAATTGCTTTAACTGTCACTTTTCTGCGTTGTTTTTACCCTGATGACTTATCAGCTTTGAGAGAAACTTCCTACAAAAAAGCTGTAGTGGCAAGAGGTGAACACTCGGTTGGCTTTAAGGTCTGTGGACACAGTTCTTCCTCATTCATGAGGAAAACTAGTTTACAGGGTACTTTCTATCATGAAGGAAAAAGAAGATGGATATCTGTTGTGAATTTTAAAATATGAAGTGCTTTCTTGTCCTGGTTGAGGTTTAGGATTGGTGCTGCTTCTTGTCATTGCATCAGGCAGATTAGGTGCTTTTCCCTGACTTTCAAGGCTTGAAAATACCAAGTAGGTCTCCCCACTGGAAGTGTCTTTGATTCACACTGAATGATGACAAGCACCTGTAACATGCCTTTGTTTTTCCTGGACGCTACGAGACTTTTACAGTTTCAGTTCCTGAGGTCCTTACAAGTGTTTGAAGAGACTCAGTCAAGAGAACCTATTTTACCATGCAGTTGTTCTCCGGTTCTAGAGAACCATTTTTTAAATGCAGTTACTGTAAATTATACTTCAAGGGCTACGGTTTCCTCAGAGTGCTCTGTCTGCTTACTGGGCCCTTGTGGATGTGTTCTCAGTGTTTACCCACCACTTGACCATGGAAGTCTTCAAATAACCGTGTGCTAAGGTATTTTTTTGTGTAGGGTGAAAGAAAATCAGCCAAGATCCTAAGTGTACATACATTGGTTATAAGTTAAGGTAAGCTTGTGCCTCTGTAGCAGATAAAAAGTAGTAGCTAAAAAAGTAGGTTTTATTTAAACTATTAGTTAAGAAAGCAAGTATGCCCCAACATTGGTTGCTCAGCTGTTTGGGTCAGGATGGCAGATGTGCAATTGGAATTGTACTAAAAATTGGAATAACCTCAAAGATGTGCTGCTAAGGGTCACTCCTCTTAAGATTTCAGCTGTTAAATTTTCTTAGATCTGTGATAGGCATTTGTAATTATGATTTTGGGGACACCATAAATTTGTCAATTTTTGATGGATTTTATTTAAAGCAAGGGTGTTAAGAAATTCTAAAAAGGTCTTGGAAAAAATAGATTTCCACAGAATTAGTCTCAAAATTGGCTGAACTGTTTTGACTGGAAGGTTATGGTAGACTTCTAATACAGAGAATTTTGTTTGTAGTATTAAGAGAACTTGTAAGCAGTTGAAAACAACTGTCCTAAAGTGAGAAAATTAGGTAATACTACTGTACCTTTTGTTATTATTTTAATAACTGCTTTGCCCATATAAAATTAAAGTGGTTAAAACCACCAAGTGCTACTTTTTCCTTCAGGAACTAAACAACACTGATTTTAAAGCTTAGAAAACCACAAAAAACCCAGCTAGAAAATCCTGAATTTGGATTCTTCCATTCTGTTGTCTGGTATGATAGCTCCCATACTGTCATTTTTGTTTGCTTGCTTATAAGACAAA